TCTCACTCTGCTGTGTGTTTGTGGGATGGATTAATGAATGGTTGCTGGGTAGAACAGGAGGCATGAGGCAGGAATGTGTTAATTATGAATGGAGCTTCTCTCGTGGCTTACTGGAGGCTCTCATTGGAGAAACACTGTTTGTATGCATGTGTGCCCTTTGTGTGTGTGTGTGTGTGTGTGTGTGTGTGTGTGTATCGGCACACATGCATGTTTAACTCAATGCGCTCAGAGCAGCCATGCAGAAAATCTGTGTTAGTGAACACCGTACTGCTCTCGTAAAATGGCAATAGATTATTTGGCAATAGATAATAAATAATGGCAATACAAGTCAAAGGCATGTCAAAGCAAGGTCGCTGTGATTTTACCAAGCAAGACGTGTTCCTGGATCAACATCTTTTGTTGATCATGGAACAACATTCCTAACTACAAACATAGTCCTAACCCTATTCCTACCCCTAAACTTAACCCTACCCATAACTTATTCACCTATAATTTCCCTCTGATTTAAAGAAAAAGAATGGTGTAGAACCCCCTAAACCTTGTTTTAAGCCTTAACTTGCAAATCTGTCAAAAGATCTCATCAATGTCTCAAATTATTCTCATATTTGTCAAGACACTAAGTACAAAAGTCTAACATTTCAATATTAACAAATTCTTTAGAAACCAAACAATCTAATTCAGATTCATTTTATATATCTTATACTCTCAATTGTCAACAATTCAAATTTAAGCCTCATTTATGTCTTTATCTCTCCTCAAATTGTAGGAGAAACATCTGAGACAGTGTGGATACTTAAGAACATAAATGAGAACCAAATTAGGCTCTTGAGATATGAGCAATTAAAGTAATAAAATTACTTAAAATTACAGTTGGTGATTTATTGAACATAAATATATGCTGAAATAAATACCAGTAAGATATAAATAGGTCTATATCATTTTCATAAATGGTAAAAAAAAAAATAGATTGCTCTTCAACCCAATGTTTAAGGCATAGTTTTTACCTTTTAAGGGCCATGGTTGATATGTTAGGGTTTGTGCCTGTTTGGCAGGCCTAGATTAACCCTGTAAGGCCTAGATCACTGAACTTCTCTAATCTGGCTGAATCTCATTCCTCTGGTGGTACTGGAGATCTGAGGTCAGCACAGACCAGGATTTAATGGTGGAATGTAGGTTTTCATCACCCTGAGAATAAGCTGAAAATACTCATTTGGAGAGTAGACGGGTAAATCATTCGCCGCAGCCACCCCGATAACAGAGAAAAATATAGGCTACCTTTAATGTTTATTGATATGATGACATGACATTGAGTTAGATTGCCAGTCAAATTTCAACATGTCATCTTCAAAAGTGTCTTCTTTCTTTTTTCATATTGTGTTGTGACAGTCATATGAAATACAGTGTTTTTATATTGTAAATAAAGAATTGTATCCTATTTTGAAGGTCATGGTACAGTTAAATCTAAAGGGTTGTTGTGGTTCCAGGCAACACTTACAGACTTCTCAGTTTAACAATTCAGTTTGACATCTTTAAACACTTCAGGAAAATTATAGCTGTCCAGGCCACCTTCTTTGGAAGAAAGCACATTGCCTCTTATAAACACTGGGGTCAGGATTTTCCAAAGGTTTTTTTTTTTTTTTTTTTTACAACCTGCTACTAAAAATAGCCTAGTTTATACTATGGCTACAGGTTACACACACACTTTGGGGAATTTGATAAATTAAACCACTCTATTTGGACTTCAGTAAGCATACATTACTGGTCCATGTTAATGCAGTAGTATGTTCCTGCACAACCGGAGGCTGCAGTTTCAGGACCCCAGTTCTAGGACCGCAGTTTCAGGACCCCAGTTTCAGGACCTGCAGTTCTAGGATCCAGGTGGTTTAGTTTGTACATAGTATCAAGATCCACCTATTATCTTAAGTCTTGTTAGAAAAAAATATATATATATTAACAAATAAGATTATGGAATAGAAAAGGTCCTGCAGGTGGTGGATTAGAGCAAGTAGCATCAACCTACATGACACAATTTAAAAGATTAATATTACACTTTTACTTAAAGCTCATTTAAACCATTGAGTATTTGTATCATATTCCTGTCGCGGTTTAAAATGGTTTTAAGTCAAAAAAAGATGTTGAAATATGTTATATTTAACATTTTATATGCAGCTAATGGCTGCACCTTGCTTAGCAATACTGTAAACATTATTTTTTCATATGAAAATATCCAAAATCACACACAAACCACATATACTCAAAATCGTGCATTTATTAGCTTCTTGTTTCAGGTGAAGAGATGTGTCTTTAGCTTTATCATGGATGTCAGAATGAGGAAGTGTACACGGCAGATACACAGGAGCGCGTCATGCAGAAGGGCAGGATTTATTGTCACGTTGAACCACGTGAGATGATTGACAGCTGTATAGCGAGCGCTGAGATCATAACTGACGATGACGGGTGCTGTATATTGTATGTATTTGAACACAAATAAACCGGAGAAGACATGAATGACTGCTTTATGACTGATGATTTCTATTCAAAATAACGAACTTTACAGATTAATAATTTTGCTTTCCTGTCATAAATTAAAAAATGTATGTCACTGCAAACCAGTTTTATAAACAGTGGTCAACTATCGAAGCTGGAGTCTTAAATCTTTCTAATGATGCTTAGTTTGTCCAGATCAAATAAGAGTGTGATGATCTTTGCCGCGAAAGGGGTTAAATGAGCGTTTTTGGTGATCCAGTTCGGTAGGTAGAGCTAAAACAGAAAACTAGGGTCCTGAAACTGCAGCCTCCGATTGTGCAGGAATACCCTAATTCAGTCATGGAACTCTAGAGGGCGCAGGCTGATAGGTCTATTAAATACAGTCCACAAGCAATCACATCATTACCGCATGGCACAAGCTGATTGGCCTCTGCTGATCCCTGCAGCCAATGAGACTGCTAGTCCTGCAGCACACTATCAGGTTACTCTGAAACCCTTCACCTCCCTCAGCTCCATCTGCCTAGATCTGCTACGGGATTTATGTATGTCTATTTATGCAGCAGCAGCAGCAGCATATATCTTACATACACTCACCTAAAGGATTATTAGGAACAACATACTAATACTGTGTTTGACCCCCTTTCGCCTTCAGAACTGCCTTAATTCTACGTGGCATTGATTCAACGAGGTGCTGAAAGCATTCTTTAGAAATGTTGGCCCATATTGATAGGATAGCATCTTGCAGTTGATGGAGATTTGTGGGATGCACATCCAGGGCACGAAGCTCCCGTTCCACCACATCCCAAAGATGCTCTATTGGGTTGAGATCTGGTGACTGTGGGGACCATTTTTGTACAGTCAACTCATTGTCATGTTCAAGAAACCAATTTGAAATGATTCGAGCTTTGTGACATGGTGCATTATCCTGCTGGAAGTAGCCATCAGAGGATGGGTACATGGTGGCCATAAAGGGATGGACATGGTCAGAAACAATGCTCAGGTAGGCCGTGGCATTTAAACGATGCCCAATTGGCACTAAGGGGCCTAAAGTGTGCCAAGAAAACATCCCCCACACCATTACACCACCACCACCAGCCTGCACAGTGGTAACAAGGCATGATGGATCCATGTTCTCATTCGGTTTACGCCAAATTCTGACTCTACCATCTGAATGTCTCAACAGAAATCGAGACTCATCAGACCAGGCAACATTTTTCCAGTCTTCAACTGTCCAATTTTGGTGAGCTCTTAAATTGTAGCCTCTTTTTCCTATTTGTAGTGGAGATGAGTGGTACCCGGTGGGGTCTTCTGCTGTTGTAGCCCATCCGCCTCAAGGTTGTGCGTGTTGTGGCTTCACAAATGCTTTGCTGCATACCTCGGTTGTAACGAGTGGTTATTTCAGTCAAAGTTGCTCTTCTATCAGCTTGAATCAGTCGGCCCATTCTCCTCTGACCTCTAGCATCAACAAGGCATTTTCGCCCACAGGACTGCCGCATACTGGATGTTTTTCCCTTTTCACACCATTATTTGTAAACCCTAGAAATGGTTGTGTGTGAAAATCCCAGTAACTGAGCAGATTGTGAAATACTCAAACCAGCCCGTCTGGCACCAACAACCATGCCACGCTCAAAATTGCTTAAATCACCTTTCTTTCCCATTCTGACATTCAGTTTGGAGTTCAGGAGATTGTCTTGACCAGGACCACACCCCTAAATGCATTGAAGCAACTGCCATGTGATTGGTTGATTAGATAATTGCATTAATGAGAAATTGAACAGGTGTTCCTAATAATCCTTTAGGTGAGTGTTTAACAATGGCAGCAGCGTGTCTGTGTGTATCTATTAACTCTAGGGCCCTGTCCACACGGACACGGGTATTTTTATAACCGTGACTTTTTTTACGCGGTTCGGCCGTTCGTCCACACGAAAACGCACTGAAACCGAACATTTTTGAAAACCCCTGCCAGGGTGAGGATTTTCAGAAACGCCGGTTACAGTGTTGTCGTGTAGACAGTGAAACCGGGGTTTTTGCCTTGCGACGTCAGAGTGTGCGCCGTTATCAGCTGTGTTTGACATGAGATTTGCGCTTCTGATTGGCCAACGTGGCTTTAGGGTTAAGGTTTATATCGCCGCCTGCTGGCGTGGCATGCTCTTGACCACGCTTGATTGCGTGTTTTTGCGTTTTCATGTAGACGGAGACCGAGCACGTGTGGACGGGATTTTTTTTAAAACGCTGTAGGAAAAACTCCGGTTATAAAAATACCCGTGTCCGTGTGGACATGGCCTAGCATGGCCATTCTTGCTCTGCAGCAGCGTAGCAGATCTAGTCCGCTGATACCAAATACATTAACATTGCCATATTCGATTACATACTAAAACTATTCTAAGAGTTGTCATAAATGAAGTATTTTAATGTCTTGAATTTAAAATGCTAGTGATTAAAGTGCAGCGTATAAAAGTAAACTAATTTCAGTGTTGTTCTGACATGTTTTCTTTCACTTGTGCATCCTGTAGGTGCCACCAGGGATATCGGATCAGCGCTGACCCGCATGTGTATGAGGCATCGCAGCATTGAGGCGAAACTACGCCATTTTACTAAGTACGACCGCACTCCTCCTGTTAACTACTTCCTGTGTGTTATAGTTCAGAAGTCTATATACAACACAAATATACTTATACTACATATGATTCTACACAATATAAGAACATACTAGAGCACAAACAAGGGCCAAAAGTAATAGCTATACATTTCATATGGAAATCATATATGAAACTGAACAGTGTTATCTATTATGCAGCATTATGACAAGTCACCTGGAATACTGGACTCTCATTGGTTTATTGTGGCATTACATGGTCAATTTTTATAACATTAATTACAACTCAAATATCAGTAAATCAATCAATATTTCGTGTCTGTTTTATTTTGTGTTTTGTTTTGAACACTATATTCGCAGACTCACTCTCAAAATCTAATGACACTGGCATGGCAAGAGAACACAAATACACACACTTTTCGCACTTCATTAGTGGACATCTGCAGACAATTCCCTCTTACAGTCTAATGAATGGTAGCCTCAAACTCTAAGCCACACTGTAAACCAAAGCTTTAATTTCGCATAATTAGAACCCGCCACCGGTTTTATGATATTTCCTTGTGAATGTTCATATCCCTCTGTAACTGAATGAGAACCTCTAACTCAGCTATGAATGGTTGAAAACCATTTTCTCTCCATTGCTCTCAGTGCTTTGATGGAGAGCCTGATCACTCCTCTACAAGACCGCATTGAAGACTGGAAGAAGACAGCAAATCAACTGGACAAGGACCATGCCAAAGGTGACTAAGCACTTGTTTTTGTCCATATGTACACTATGTCAGTTCTTAAAAAGTAAACAACACACAAATTTTCACACACTTCTATTTTTTACAGAGTACAAACGGTCTCGTCATGAAATAAAGAAAAAATCTTCAGACACCATGAAATTACAGAAAAAAGCCAGGAAAGGTAACACACCTTCTTTTCACTAAGAAATTTTCAGCATGACAAAAAAAATTGGTCAATTTATTCTGTGAAATATTGTCATAGTAGCACCCACCAACAACACACTAGCATACCAGTGTTTTAATATCAGTGAACCTGATGGAGCAGATCAATATTACATAACTTTGTCCTATTACAAAGCAGAAATGTGTTGGGAATAACTCAAGGACATTTCCTCAAGGTCAAAACTGGCTGTTTTATTTGACGTTCAGAACAACCAGCTGATTGGATGCCATCAGCCTTCACTGTGTTTTTAGTGGCTCTAATGGTCGATGATGGACAGATGAATCTCGGAGCTGTTGTTAAAGCCGCATAGACTGCATAGAGTGCACAATGCGAATGCGCTCGGTGAAATTACTGATCCTTTTATATCAGGCAAACAATCCTCTGTAACGTAAGCAACCCCCTCTGCTGGCTGAAATGCAGAAGTGCAACTCTCACCTCATTTGCTAAGCAGTTCGTGTTCATATCCCAACAGCCAATAATTTCTGCTTTTGAAGATAGGATGACAATCCTGTGTGTTACTAGGAAGAGTCCGGTTATTAAAGGAAAAGCTCCCTTCTATTCTTTTTATTCTTATTCTCTTATTACAAGTCCGGCATCTCATTCCTTCTAAGACCAGACTACCTATTTGATTTTCTTTTGGATCCATTGCACATTAAATCGTACATTTTTGGCTGGATTTTGATTATTTTGGCTGTGGTGGTTGGCTTTTCTGAAACAATTTGGCCGTGAAATGAGCTGAATTGCTTCCTAATACTAACCCTAACACAGTGCTCTCCCTCCTCTCTTTCTCTGTATCTCTTTCTCTCTGTTCTTTTCCCTCTCTTGGATTCCCCCGCGTTGTGTTCTCTCTCTCTTTCATCTACTCTCCCTCTATAGAGCTACAGGGTAAGTATGTTTTTCCACGCAAAGCTGTGGCTCACTTAGATTCTTCTCACTCGTTTCTCTGCATGGCCCTTTAACCCGGCCTCAACTCGAAAAAGACCCCAACACGTCTGCAGACAGCTTCTGTGGTTGTCGGATTTAACCCCCACATGAGATTTTGGCTTGACAATTTACAAGTGATTTCTCCCATTATAACAGCTGAGGGTTTGCTTAGTGCATGATTTTGCTGATGCCGTCCCAGCATGCATGCTGCTTGTGTTCCTGGAAGCAGTTCTTCTGCGGCTAACTGACTTTGCTTCCTCAGCAAAGGTCACGACCATCTCTAACAATCTAGTCTGCATGAGTTAACCTTTTAACTTCCTCTGGGAGGTTCAATGTGTTTCATTAAGAGTAGAAGATGTTCGATCGCAGAGTTCAGAGGTGTCTGTCTCCATCTGTTGTGTAGGTGCTAGTCGGAGTAGTTCGTTTTGTTCTGTGTTCGCATTACGTCTGTATTGTTGGAGGCTGGAAGAGAGAATGATCCTCATGTTCTAATGCTGTATTCCCTCTTGTGTCACTTTTTTTCTTCTGATTGTTCTTTACAATCTTTTCATTTTTCCATTTGACCTTCTTTTTTGTCTGATACTTTGGCCATTTTTCATTCGGTCCATTCTCCACCTTGTTTCATCCCTCTCCCTGTCTTCCTTCCCTTCTTTTCTGTTATGCTCTCTGTCACCCCCTTTAGGCCGGGGGGACCTTCAGCCTCAGCTGGACAGTGCCATGCAGGATGTGAATGACATGTACCTGCTGATGGAGGAGACAGAGAAGCAGGCGGTGCGGCGAGCTCTAGTGGAGGAGAGAGGACGCTTCTGTACCTTCATCGGCTTCCTACAGCCTGTAGTGGTACTGCCCACCTCAACCCCACTTACATCAACTGTACAGCTACTCCACTTCTTAACTCTTTCCCTGCCATTGATGGAATTTTCCATCATTTACGAGACAACGCTTCCCCAGATTTTCTGGCTTTCCATGTTTTCACTGTTAAACGGTAGGGGGTGATATTACGCATCTTCTGAAAGAATAGAAAATCTCCAAATCAAAACACAGACAAAAAAGGAGCAGAAACAATCGATAAAAGCATTGCTTATCTACGTTGTAGTCTTTTTGGGGGAGGAAACATGATTTTCTCAACTTTTTGTTCAAAATGTTGCTTTTTTTATGAAACTTAACCACATTGACAAGTGTTGATAAAAAAAAGAATGCATGAAACTAGACTAAAACCTGTTCTTTCTTTTGATATATTGCATGTTCAGATATTCATATTTAATATATATTAAATATATACATTTATAAAATATTCTGGGGGCCATGAATTTTTTGTGAAGATGATCAAACACGCTGGCGGTGGCTGGAAACTTTTTTTTTTTTAAATGCTGGCGGGGAAAGAGTTAAGAGACCATTGCGATTTTAGATTTGAGAGCTTTTAATTTCATCCTCAGTTGACTTTGTTTTGAGGAAATAACTATATATGAAGGACATTTATTAAAGCAAAAGAAAGGAGGAAATATAATGAAGTTAATGAAGTTTACTTTTCTTTTCTTTTTTTTATTGTGAATGCAGTCAAATTTTAACAAAGCAGGTATCATTTAAAAGCATTTAACAGGTGTCAGAGTTCCCATGTACATCACCGTTCAAAAGGTTTGGGTCGGTAATATGTTTTAATGTTTTTAAAAGAAGTCTCTTATGCTCAGCAAGGCTGCATTTATTTGATAAAAATACAGTAAAACAGTAATATTATGATATATTCTTACAATTTAAACTATTTATTCAATCATTTTTTTAATTTGAATTTAATTTATTCAATCATTAGTCTTTAGTGTCACATGATCCTTCATAAATCATTCTAATATGGTGATTTGATGCCCAATAAACATTTTTTATTATAATGTTGAAAACGGTAATGCTGCTTAATATTTTTGTGGAAACCGTGGCACTTTTTTCAGAATTCTGAAAGTTTTTTGAACGGTAATGTATGCTGGACATATAATAACTTAAATAAACAAGTAAGTAATAAATACATAAATAAATACAATTTTAGATTTTTGTAAAGTAATTCATACATAAACACAACATCATTTTTTTATAATTACATCTACACAACTTATTTAAACATTAAATGAAAATATTTTTATCGATTGAAATGTTAAGCGTAAATGTTTCATAAAAGAAATTGTTTGTTATTTTTTATATGACAATGGTAATGAAGAATCTGTCCTTAAGCAGATATTCAAAAAACAATATGCTCTTAGAACGTGTTATTGTCACTGCATTATGGCATTATGCATAACATCCTGGTTGCTATGCAACCCACCGTTCCCTGAAGGAGGGAACGGAGGACGTAGTTGACGTCGACTGAATGTGGATCACGCCAGGGAGCCAATCGTCTTCAAGTACTATTGAACGAGCCAATGGAATTGGCATGCGTGATTTACATCACACACTCCGCCCCCGCGGCGCAGGTATAAATACGGAAGTGGATGCACGCACTAGTTGCCTTTTTGCTGAGGAGCCGAGCATAACTCGGAGTCAACGGTGGTCCAGCAGTAGTGGTGAGGGGACTCGTTAACCACCCATTAACCCTCTGGGGTCTAAGGTGTTTTTGGGGTCCTTGAGATATTTTGACATGCCCTGACATTTGTGCTTTTTTTCAGTTGCTTATAAACATATTAATGGCGCAGGTGAAATTACACTCTATTTAGCACAAACAGGGCTACCATAATATGTGAGCAACATGTATGTACATGTTTGTATTTTTGAGAGAATATTGTTTATGCATGGTTATTGAAAAAACTAAAAATTAAAGTTTCTGAAATAAGGCCACAAAACACATACTAAATATCTGTCCACAAGACTTTTGACTAATGTCTTAAAGTCTTGAGACATTAGTCTTTATGTCTCAAGTTTTTGCTTCAAAATGATCTGAAAATCATCCTGCCTAATCATTCACATAAAACAATAGATTGTTTTAAATTGTGAAAAACATTTTTTTGTTTGGAAAGGCAATATGCCTGGAGGCGTGAACAGCCCAACCCCCTCATGTATAATTAGGTGGTTCTCACCTGAGAAGACAAAGACCCGCATAATAATGAGCCTTTCATTCAGGTGTGTCACACAAGAAAGAATGCGAAGACAATATACACTCACCTAAAGGATTATTAGGAACACCTGTTCAATTTCTCATTAATGCATTATCTAATCAACCAATCACATGACAGTTGCTTCAATGCATTTAGGGGTGTGGTCCTGGTCAAGACAATCTCCTGAACTCCAAACTGAATGTCAGAATGGGAAAGAAAGGTGATTTAAGCAATTTTGAGCGTGGCATTGTTGTTGGTGCCAGACGGGCTGGTCTGAGTATTTCACAATCTGCTCAGTTACTGTGATTTTCACACACAACCATTTCTAGGGTTTACAAAGAATGGTGTGAAAAGGGAAAAACATCCAGTATGCGGCAGTCCTGTGGGCGAAAATGCCTTGTTGATGCTAGAGGTCAGAGGAGAATGGGCCGACTGATTCAAGCTGATAGAAGAGCAACTTTGACTGAAATAACCACTCGTTACAACCGAGGTATGCAGCAAAGCATTTGTGAAGCCACAACACGCACAACCTTGAGGCGGATGGGCTACAACAGCAGAAGACCCCACCGGGTACCACTCATCTCCACTACAAATAGGAAAAAGAGGCTACAATTTGCAAGAGCTCACCAAAATTGGACAGTTGAAGACTGGAAAAATGTTGCCTGGTCTGATGAGTCTCGATTTCTGTTGAGACATTCAGATGGTAGAGTCAGAATTTGGCGTAAACAGAATGAGAACATGGATCCATCATGCCTTGTTACCACTGTGCAGGCTGGTGGGTGGTGTAATGGTGTGGGGGATGTTTTCTTGCCACACTTTAGGCCCCTTAGTGCCAATTGGGCATCGTTTAAATGTCACGGCCTACCTGAGCATTGTTTCTGACCATGTCCATCCCTTTATAGCCACCATGTACCCATCCTCTGATGGCTACTTCCAGCAGGATAATGCACCATGTCACAAAGCTCGAATCATTTCAAATTGGTTTCTTGAACATTCAATGAGTTCACTGTACTAAAATGGCCCCCACAGTCACCAGATCTCAACCCAATAGAGCATCTTTGGGATGTGGTGGAACGGGAGCTTCGTGCCCTGGATGTGCATCCCACAAATCTCCATCAACTGCAAGATGCTATCCTATCAATATGGGCCAACATTTCTAAAGAATGCTTTCAGCACCTTGTTGAATCAATGCCACGTAGAATTAAGGCAGTTCTGAAGGCAAAAGGGGGTCAAACACAGTATTAGTATGGTGTTCCTAATAATCCTTTAGGTGAGTGTATATACATACACACACACACACACACACACACACACATATATATATATATATATATATATATATATATATATATAAAATCAAAATATAAATGAAAGTCAAAAGCACATTTTTAGTCATACCTGGAAACAAATCCTGTTCAAATAGGCTATATGGGCCATTCTACAGAATTGGTTCAAAGTTAGAGTTGGAAACATCTTGAAAAGAAAATTGTCTTTTTCTATAAATCTCTTATAAAGTATTATTTTTTAAAGTAGGCCAATACATTTTATCATACATATTTCAAAGTTAAGGATTCATTATTTTGATATAGCCTAGCTTGCATTGAAACAAACACTATAACAGTTGATTAGTTTATTTTTGACAAAACATACTATATATTTAACATATGAGCAGAAACTGTCTAACAAAAGCGTATTTGATGTCTTTTTTAGAGTAAAAACTTTATAATCTATCCAAAACTAGTCAACGAAATGTTGTCATTACAGACACTATTCTATATCGCAATTAGAACAAATCTCAGTAGGCTATAGCAATATAGTTTGGATGTGTTCATGTAAAAATAACGTTTACTAATGTAGGAGCGAGAGTGAATGAACGCACAGATGCAATGTACATCTGTAAACAACATCGCGCGCGCGCGTGCATGCGTCTGTGCCATTCATTCATTCACACACAGACACGCAATTCATATTTAAACAGTCTTTGTGCAGTTTACAGACACTATTCAATAACGCGATTAGAACAAAGCCCTTAAGAATAAACTTACTTCATCAGCTGGATCCGTGCTCCTCGAAATGAAACTATACCAGCACTTCTGAGGTAACTTTTTGGATGTTTTATCCAGCTGATGTGGGCGTTTTCATGGCTTGCCTCAACATTTGCGTTTGAATAGCACGCGCTCTCAGTGGGCGTGGTCACATTAACAAGTCATACGCTATAATTAGCTGAAAGGAAAAAGACTGACATCTCTCTTTTCATACAGATTACATAAACTGAGAATATTTGTTTTTTTATATAAATTACTTCATTTAAAAGAAGAGAATTTCAGCTTCATAACTAAAAATCTTTCGTGCCTGTGTGACAAGTATTTACTTAGTTACAGTTAATTTTCGGACGCGTTTCAGAATGAACTTCACTGACAGAGAGAGCGCAAAATTCGCATCATGTTTATTTTTCTTTATTTGACAAAAAGCAGAACACTTTGTTTTTATTGTGAGTATCCACAAAAAAATAGACACTTAACAGGATCTAATGATGTACAACACTTATATGCAAGATCAAAATCAAAAGAGTAATTTGAGTCTCTTTTGCACTGATAAGGAAAGAAGTGAGCTCGTCGCGCCGGCGTGATAGCCGACCCCAGATGGTTAATATTTAGTGTTTCACACCTGAGAAAGACAAAGACCCTCCCCTAATGGCCCTATTAGGTGATATCATTATGAGGAGCCTTGCACAAAGAATAGAATAGGAGAGACTTAAAAAAGAATGGCTTTTAGATTGTTTGGATTTATTTACAACACAACATAATCCAAAGATACACAACAAATGAAAAAAAAGCACATTAGTAAACACACTGATCTAAAGTCAGCAGGACTCATCAGTGGCATCTGGTCCCTTTAAAAATAATTTTTTAGAAAAAAAACACCTGTGAACATGCTGATATCAAGAGAAACTACAGGGCTGCACGATTTTGGGAATACATTTTAGATTTTTCTGGTTAAAATTATGAAATTTACTAAATACACTATATATATATATATATATATATATATATATATATATATATATATATATATATATGAACACCAAGTTTGTTGGTTTTATATGTGTTGGGATATATGTGTTGGGCTATATAAAATATTAACAACACCCTAGATAGAAGGCAGCCTATAAATCGTTAAAAAGGAACACTTCAGTAACACTACACTAGAGAAAAATATATGGATTATCAAATGTTACTTCAAACGTTTCCATATATTACGACGTTATGAAATGAGATTGGAGTAAAAACATGAAGCCTAATGTTTGGTGCGTTTTGCTTTTCAAACCCACTGCGCGAGTGACTCAAACTCAAACAGCGCGTGACTCAAACAGCGCGTGCAGAGGACATTTACTGAAGCGATCGAGCTGCTCCAAACTATGAAACATTATTCTTACCATATTATACATATCTACGTGTGAGCAGATATCCACAAACACAGTATTTAACAGTAAACACAGGTCTAAACATTATAATATTCACCATGAATAAACACTCATACGAGCCTATACTGTTATATCGTGCTATTTAATTATCGAACATAAAAACAGTGTCGTACATGTAGGCCTATATACATTTAGCATTAAGCTTAATGTTTTTACTCCAATCACATTTCATAACGTACATTTTAGTCTGGCACCAGTTTAACTAGTAGCTACAATGTAAAGTTTATACAACAATAACATGCTACTATTAGTGTCTTACCTTAAAAAAAGTTCTCATAATCAAATCGTGTTCTTCTAATTCTTTTGAGGTAAATGCAAGGTAAACAGCACAGCACAAACAACTCGATGAAAAGCAGAGCAGTACTGAAGTTGCTGATTCTTTGTTTTGAGGTGATGAGGGGGTTTACAGCTCTGTGTTCCTCCGCGTGGATCATTTGCATATGAACAGCTTGTGCGCGTGTGGGTGTGGTCACATTAGCGCTAATCAGCTCAGGCTGGAGAAACTGTACATGTCGTTCCTTTCATACGAATTACTTAAACAGAGAATATTTGTTTTTGATATGATTTACATCATTTAAAAATGGAGACTTCAAGCTTCGTAAAGACATGTTTCATGTCACAGTGACAAGCATTCGATGAGTTATCGGTCATTTTCTGTCGCGTTTCAGAATGAACTTCACATTGAGAGAGACGGTAGAACGCGCATCATATTTATTTTCTTTATTTTACGAAAAACACAACATTGTGTTTTTATTATGAGTGTACACAAATAAAAGAAGATATTTAACAGTTTTGAATGATGTGTAACACTTATATGTAAGATCAAAATCAACAGAGTATTTTGAGTTTGTTTTGCACTAATAAGAAAAAAAGCAAGCAGATCACGCTGGTGTGATTGCCGACACCAGAGGGTTAAGGTAACAATTGCAGGTTACTACATTTTTGATCTATGAACTATTTGTTCTTCTCCCTTGTGTAATTGTCAGAATGGAGAGATTGCCATGTTGGGAGAGATCACTCATCTCCAGGCCATTATTGATGACCTCACCGTGTTAACCACAGACCCCCACAAACTGCCCCCAGCCAGCGAGCAGGTGCACATACTCCTTATACACTTCAATCATCATGAAGCATGTGCAGTTCTTTACAGAAACAAACCATAGTGAGGCCATTCATATTACAGTTGTGTGTCTCTCTGTAACTTTCTTTCAGGTAATAAAAGACCTTAAGGGTTCTGATTACTCTTGGTCGTACCAGACTCCCCCCTCCTCTCCCAGCAGCTCCGGATCCAGGAAAAGTAGCATGTGCAGGTAAGAGCAAGAGTGATGAAGAAATAAAGAGAGACGGTGATGTTAAATCTTTATTTCTGCTTATTATCCTTTTTCTCCTGGATAGGTTTGTTGCTTGTGCTGTGTACTATGTTGCTTGGCTTTTTCATTGTTGTAATTGCTGATTGTTGCTGTAAACAGTACAGTTTACTGCAAAATATAAATTGCTGAATGGAAGCTTATACTTGTAACTACCCTGCTAGAAAATCAAGCTTATGCTGTTTGAAACACGGTCGCTGGTATTGAGCTGGTCTAAGCTGGTAGACCATCTTGGAGCAGCAAACAAACCAGATGCCAGCTGGTCATACCATCTTAAAGGGATAGTTCACCTAACAATGCAAATTCTGTCATCGTTTACTCACCGTCATATTGGTTTAACCTATACTTTTGTTCATATTCAAGACACAAATGAAGATGTTTTTAACGAAACCTAAAATTTCAGTCCCTTCATTGAAAGCCCATTGCACCAAAACTATGGCGTTTCAAAAAGTTCATAAAGACATCATAAAAGTAATCCATATTAATTGAGCTGTTTAATTAAAAATTAAAAAAATGTATTTAGGCTTCGTACATACGTCAGCGTACATACATTGAGCACATCAAATGGTAAACGGAATCTCAACTATACTTGTGTGACAATGTCTTTATAAACTTTTTGAAGCATCAAGTTTTAGCCGAATGGACCTTCAATGGGACAGAAATCTCTCAGGATTCATTCAAAAATATCTGCATTTGTGTTTCAAATAAAAATCTTAAAGTCCCTGTAAAGTCAAAATTAAGTATGTGTTCTGAGTTTGTCACACCACAGAAAAATGTGTTATTATTAGTCACCCAGCCAAATTTGAATGATAAAAAAAGCCAGCAAGTACATAAAATAAGCTATCAAAATCTTGAAAAAATTAGCAGTATTCTCTGCTCTCAAACGCTGGGGGCGTGTCCGCTGGCTGCGCTGAAGCCACGCCCACTCGCGGGAAAGCTGCCGTCGCCACACTCAACTCTACAGCCGAAATGGATGCTCGCACGGTGGGCACGCACTGCCGATGATGGCACCAGTTGTCGGCGCGACTGGAGGATGAAGGCCGAGGCGGGAGATAGTCGGTTCGGCCCCATTCACCAGTAACAGCGGATTATCAGTGAATCCCAGTTGTCTCTGATGAAAGTTTATAAAACTATCCCGTGTAAAATGATCACTTACAGAGGTGGTTTTTGGCGGTGATCCTCAGCTCTCCATCAAGGTGGCTCTTCACAAAATGAATCCACTTCTTCTTGATGTAATCGTTTTTCGGAAATGTAAATAAGGACACCGATCTGTTTTGTACTGATCCCGGTGATCGCATCCAGGTAGTAACGTTACGCATTTCCGTGACAAAGGCATAGCTAGCCAGCAATCTGTAGGCCGTTACTAATAATAGTACTGACAGTAACAATGAGCGGCAAACTGATGTGAATGTGCTCTATAATATTGTTAGGAGCGGCCAGCCTCAGCGGCTTTAGTGCGTCATCAAGTAGGGGCGTGTCCAGGAGCTCAGGGGCTCCAGTGCGTCATCGAGCCCCGTTTTAGCCCCGCCCAGAAAATCCGGAAAATAGCAATGGTGAAAAACTGTTTAACGGTCTAACTCCACAATTCAGTACTTCACAGTTCACAGTCTTTGTAATATGTTTAATCAATACATGTCTAACATTTATAATGTGTTTAGAATTTTTTTTTTAAATTGCCTTTACAGGGACTTTAAGGGTTTGGAATGACATAAGTGTGAGTAAATGATGACAGAATTTAGATTTTTGGTGAACTATTAAGAGGATGCTAATGCCAATGACCATCTTGCATAAGTTAAATAACTAGCTAGAAACTAGCTACTTACTTAATTTTCCAACAGGGTTATATTTTGTGGAAGAGTGTGTGTATATTTTGAATGCAAACGTGTGTGTACTATAAGAAAGGGGGGCTGCTGATGCTACTGCTGCTGCGCTACACAATCACCCTGTATGTTGGCATCCCATGTAACCTCCTGACTGCATATTAGTCACAAGAGACAGAGCACTGCGGTCATTAAATGTTATTTTGTATTCCTGTAAAAGCCTTGCTTTCAACGGCAACAGTTGAATGCTTATTGATTCATGTTATTCTTCATTTGAGTCCTTGTGATTACAATTAACAAAATAAGACTAAAGTAGCTTGTTTAATATGATTTTATTACTTTTCTAATTATCTAGCAATTAGTGCGTCTGATGAGCGTAACTTCAGTGCTGTGCTCTTTTAAATTAATATTCCAGGTTTAAAACATTTTAAACCCCATATGTCTAATATCCCTGTATTGTTTTTAATCCGAAATATGATGAAACAATTACTTCAATGAAGTGAAAGCATTTCAAGATCACTTTTACATAACCAGCCAGTCCCTTTAGAGTTTTTGATTAGACCATTAGTGTTTTGCTTTGGCTCCAGGGCCAATTAAAGCTTCATTTTGTAATAGTGTCATTTAGTACCTGTTTGTGTGCCGCCTCGCATGGAGTCATGGGGGTTGATTCAAGTGCGTTGGCTGCAAAGCGCCGACACATCTGAACACAGCCTTCAATCTCCATACTAGGCCTCCTGTGTCACGCCTGTCAAACTTTGTCTTACATATGTTCTCCCTCTGCCTCCCCCCCACCCTGACCTCCATCCTTACCCATCAACCCCTGCTCGATCTCCTTTTCACCCACAACTTTTTTTTCATTAACTTTTTCAACTCATCTATCATTATCACGTAATTTTTCTTTACATCAATCACAAAATGCTTGACTTCATCTGTTCCTGTCATCCTGTAAAACCCTCTCATTCTCATTCTGACCTTGTGGGTGTGGTTCACACTTATCACCAAATAACCTGCCCATATTTGACGCTCCGTACCCCACCCTTGTACCCTGGTCCTCTGCCCTGTCACACTTTCCCTTGCTCCTGCAGCAGTGTAAACAGCGCCCATAGTAGTGCCTCTCGATCCTCTGGTGGCTCTCAGACTCACTCACCCAGTTCGTCCTGTCGCTACCGCAGCCTGGCCCAACCGCTAACAACCGCTGCACACCGCCTCAGCAGCGTCTCCTCCCACGACTCCGGCTTCATCTCCCAGGACGCCAACGTCTACTCCAAACCCCCATCACCCATGCCCTCTGATATAACCAGCCAGGTATTTATTTCTTGTTTATTTGTGTTTGTTATTTCCTGTTGTCTTAAAGAAATGTTGGTAATGTAAAGTTATAAGGTACATTTAACTGATTTTCTCAGTCAAATTGACCCTTGTAAAACAAGAGCAAACATATCTATTGTTGTAATAGATGGTAAATATGTATTTATTATATACACTACTGTTTGTGGTCAGTATGATGTTTTAAAAATGGACTCTTTTGTCTTGATGCACAAAAATATTTTATTTCTCCCTTTTTGGTTTGTTTTCATCATATACACTCTACTGATCAAAAGTTTGGGGTCAGTAAGATGTTTTGAAAGAAGTCTGTTACGCTTACCAAGACTGCATTTATTTGATCAAAAATACTATTCAAAACAATAATATTATGAAATATTACTTTAATTTTAATAGCTGTTGTCTATTTGAATATATTTTAAATTGCAATTTATTCCTGTGATGGCAAGGCTGAATTTTCAGTCTTCAGTGTCACATGATCCTAAAGTCATGATCCTAAATTAAACCTAAAATAATTAAAAGTCTTTAACTGACATATTTGATCAATTTAATGCATCTGTATATGTTAAAAATAAAAATAAAAAATACATTTGTAAGCATGAGCTCACCAAATTGTAGTGCTAACTCTTTTGCCGCTGACACGGCAATGACAAACTGAAATTGACGCCCCACATAATTGCTTGAAGAAGCCATATTGTTACCGCACATCTGTGTCTCAGCTTTAAACATGAAGCTATATTTCCTCTCTGAAAGATTACAGTGACCTCTTGTGGACAAGACTCATGAAACTGAAAGAAATATGAACCTCTGTATATCAAACAGTTCTTGACCAATGTTCAGAATGTGGGTGAGGCAGATTTTTTTTACATGCTTTGGGAAAAAGTGTTATAGACGGTTTCATCGAACGCACGCGCGTTGCCCGGGTTACGCGCTGGCCCGAAGTTAACTTCCGGTCTGTGTTTGTTAACCGGTAATATCATAATATCATAATATCATAATATCATTCTCTGGTAATATGGCGCCGACTACAAACGCAGTGAAAATTAAGGTGATGAGCAGACTGAAGTTGGGCTCAGGTTGTTGTGTTGTGGGATGCAACCTGAGGCTCTGGGGCAAATACCTTATCAAAAATAAAAAATTTCGTTTTCCTAAAAACGAAGGGAGACGGCGAGCGTGGATCACCGCTGTGCGATGAGAGGCTTGGCAGCCAGGCAAGAATTCAAGGATCTGTAGCACTCACTTCGTTACAGGTAACAAACTCATGATAAGCAACAGATAATTATGGAAGCTTGTTTCCGGCCATGAAGAATAAAAAAAAAAAAATAATTGAGACTTTTTATCTCATAATTGCGAGATAAGAAGTCAGAATTGTGAGAAATAAAGTTGCAATTCTGAGAAATAAAGTCGCAATTGCGAGAAAAAAAGACAGAATTGAGACTTTTTATCTCACAATTCTGACTTTTTTCTCACAAAAAGTCTATGGTTTCTACAGATGAACTCTGTTGTTATTGACTCTACCGGAAGTTAAGTTTGGGCCACAAAAGCGCGCATGCGCAGTTACGTTTGTTTATGTTGTTGCCGTTGAAACCGTCTATAGAAAGAGCTTGAAATTTGCTTGTGAAGCTTGGTATGTGGAACATAGGCTTTACATTATGTACACAGACAAGATACTTCTACTTTCTTAAGCACGTTCCTTGGAGGAAAGCAAAAGAAATACACTTGTCTCGGAGCTCACATGCTACTCTTTCCATGGGATAAAAATGGGATTTTTTAATACATGGCCAAGATGAAGCATGTTGCGGGTCAACCTAGCATAGATAATTCAGAAACACACCAGGCAATGTTCATTTTTAGATGGTAGCTTAAGCACAGGAATAAACAACCCTTTGAATCGTTTAGTTTCTTTTTAGTCAAACGGTCAAGAGAATTAATTACAGAGGTTTATTACTTAAAGCCCTAACCAGGATGTTAAAGTACTAGCCATACACACTCACACACCTCTACAATGTGGTAGATATGAAAACAACCAGCAGATGGCAACATACTCATTAAATAAGATGGAGAGAGAGAGAGGCAACATACTCATAAAATAAGATAGATAGAGAGAGAGAGAGGCAACATACTAATAATAAAATAATAATAATTCATTACATTTATATAGCGCTTTTCTAGGCACTCAAAGCGCTTCACATGGAAGGGGGAATCTCCTCAACCACCACCAATGTGCAGCATCCACCTGGATGATGCGACGGCAGCCATAGTGCGCCAGAACGCTCACCACACACCAACTTATTGGTGGAGAGGAGACAGAGTGATGAAGCCAATCAGTGTATATATATATATGGGGATGATTAGGAGGCCATGATGGACAGAGGCCACTGGGCAATTTTGGCCAGGATGCCGGGGTTACACCCCTACTCTTTCGAAAGACATCCTGGGATTTTTAATGACCACAGAGAGTCAGGACCTCGGTTTAACGTCTCATCCGAAGGATGGTGCTCTTTGATAGTATAGTGTCCCCGTCACTATACTGGGGCGTTAAGACCCACACAGACCACAGGGTGAGCGCCCCCTGCTGGCCGCACTAACACCTCTTCCAGCAGCAACCTGGTTTTCTCAGAAGGTCTCCCATCCAGGTACTAACCAGACTCAGCCCTGCTTAGCTTCAGTGGGCAACCAGTCTTGGGCTACAGGGTGATATGGCTGCTGGCCATTACTCGTTAAATAAGATAGAGAGAGAGATTAGATATCTGTGCTCCACTATAGCGCTAAAAAAAAAAAAGTAGCACTTGATTTTTAGAAATCCTAAAGATTGTATATCCTGTTTTTTGTGTTGTGTTTCATTTAATCATTAAAATTCAATTTCTGCATGTCATTAAAATACATTAAAAGAATAATAAAATATTATAGGTATTATACATGTTATATTTTTTACAGCATGTACATGTTTTATTTTTTACAGCAAAAACAGTAATATTGTAAAATATTTTTGCAATTTAACAGTTTTCTATTTAAATTGTAATTTATTATTTTAATGACAGCTTAATTGTCAGCAATGTCACATGATTCTTCAGAAATCACTCTAATATGCCGATTTGGTACTCAAGAAACATTGCTCATTAGTTGCTGCTTTTTTGTGGCAAATGTAATACATTTTTTAGGATACTTTGATGAATAGAAAGTTGAAAAGAACATTTATATGCAATATCATATGATATATTTATATATATGTAATCAATTCAATTTAATGTATTTAATTTAACCCTAATGAATACAATTATTGATTCATGAATAAAAGTATTAATTTCTTTTGTATTAATTCAGTGATTTAAAACCACTGACCACAAACTCTTCTCTCCAATAGTAATTAATATGGCAACACTAAATATGACAAGCCAAATGACTTGAATTCCTTTGGTTAAAAACTGTTTTAAATTTAAAATGTCTTTTATCTATTTGTGAAGTGTCCATTTATTATAAGCAGTATACCACAAAATATCCAAAGAATTCAAACTTTGACAGAGCCCCTCTTTGACTGGTTCCCTCGCTGTAAATAAAAGTTGCTGCCTTAAATTTTTAAGTTCAATCAACTTGGATGTTTAAGTTATTTCAACTTAAATTACATTACACTGAAAAATGAGTTGAATCTTGTATAACTTATAAAACAAGTTGAAAATTGCTTAACTTATTTTGATGAGTTAAAGCAATTTAAAAACATGTGTTGTCATAGCGTATTGATCATATACTTTTTTACAGTGCTGCTTATAGCCTGTCTACTGTTATCTCTCTTGCAGAAGTCATCAAGTTCAGCGTCCTCAGAAGCATCTGAGACCTGCCAGTCAGTTAGTGAGTGTAGCTCTCCAACCACAGTAAGTACGGAGCGCGCTCTGTCCATCAGACATACATGTGCTGAAACTGTCAGTGATATTTTGTGCTTGTCCGTGTGACCCATGAGGGTTTTGATGCTGACTGGCAGGTTGGGGTCTTCACGTTCTTTCTTGCCGATATCAGCTTTGTGCTGTCATCAGATCTGATCTTCCCTGCCACTCTCAGCATGTATCTGCAAAGTCACACGCAAAGGCTCCCATACCGTTGTGTAAAGGGGGTCTCTTGCTACTCTGACGGTCTCGATCTTATCTCTCCATTCCGCAGTTTGGCTCGTCCTTCGCTACCTTCCGCCCTGCTCTCTCTCACACTGGCTCCATCAGGCCTTTCTCTGTCATACTTCCTGCGTCCCCACCCTATAACCGCTCCCCTGGATCCAACACACCCTCTCCCACATCCAAGGTTCCTTGCTGGAAGGTTTGTCTTCATTGGCACTTCTCATTGCAGTTTTGTTTATTTCCTCTTCTTTTATGTGCGTTCTTGTGTGTTGAATACGTGCCTCCTGAATAACACTTTTTGACAGTGCTCCATTTTGGTTTCATTCTGCTTAACCTCATCCATTACCTCATTTTGCTTTTTAACACGCACTTTTTCTGTTGGCTGTTTGATCCTGGTTTCAAATCTCTGGCTGTGAGATTTGCTAAACCGAGCAGGCCACGGAAGGTACCTGTTAGTTTATCCAACTCAAACAGTGGCACAAACACTGAGATTGGGCTTTTTCTAAAGCACATTGTTGAAAGGACACTCAAACTGCTGGATCGTGGGCCAGGCTTCTCTCCCGCCCCTGAGACCGTTGCATTTGTTGCTTTACACTGCCTTGAACTAACCGCTTGTACTTCCTCAGGACTGGTCCAAGGTAGGTTCCAGTGAGCAGCCGTTGGCCAGCATGCTTCAAAGGAGGAAGGAGCCTCTTGATAGGCTGAGGGAGGCAGAAACCTCTCCTCAGTCACAGGGGTATTCTGGGATGCATTCGGAAGACCCCCAGAGGCCAAGGATGACCCCGGCTACTATAGCTGCCAAGGTAACTTTCACCATATAAAACATTCATCATGCAGATTTTAATTTTGAAAATGCCTAGCGTTTTTTATTTGGGGAAGACATAATCTGCCTGTTTGCTTAGGGCTGTTTTTTTTTTCAAATATGGATGGTTCTGGCCTTGAGAATTGAATAAGGCAGTGGCTTAACATTATTTTTTTTTAATTACTCAAAATAAAGCTAAAACCGTTAAAAATCTAAATGTAAACTGACGTCATATTTATTTTAATTTGTTCCCTTAACAAGTTTACATGGTCTTCTAAACCTGGAGGGAAATTTAAAACTGATTCATATACTGTACCTGGACAAGTCATGGAAAATAAAAATCCCCCCAAAAACTATAATGAATATAATTTTTTATAGTTTGTTATGGGTGAGCTCTAGTTATATTGAGCTCTAAAATATAATATATAAGGTAGAAATTGCAATTTGTGAGTAAAAAAATCATAAATAAATAAAAAACCCTGGAATGACAAAGTTATTTAAATTCACAATAAAAAGGAAATAAAAAGTGTAAACCCTGAAGAACATTCGGTTATTGAAAAATTTAATTTTGTTTTAATACATTGCCACTAAATTAAAAAGTTTGAAAATAAGCAGCCTTCAAATATTATGATTGACAATGGGAGTTCTTAGAGGCAATAAATTGAGAACCACTGTTATAAAGGTAAAAAAAAAAAAAGTCTTAAAACACATTTTACTCTCACTAGCTTATTACGTTTGTCCATTAACAGTGTCCAACATTGACATCCATTCATCAGAATACATCCAGGGATGTAGTGGAGGCTAAACGCACGTAAACGCCGTTTACGCACCTCCCAATATTCGGAAATAGCGTTTACCCACCTCCAAAGTGCGTTTATCCACCTCTAAATTGCGTTTATCCTCCTCTAAATAGCTATAAATTAAGCTTATGTCGTTTTAGTTTTATATTGTTCATTACTAGTTTCATAGGTTGTTAAACCTAAGACGAACTCTTTCATATTGCGCTGCATTACTGTCAGTGTTGTTGACTTTTACTGACGGTAAGGTTGCGCTGTTGACGCTCGCGCAGCCTCTCGAGGAGAAATCTACACAAATGAGCGCACACACACACTCAGTTAACAATATACTGCCTATAAAAAATCTACATGTGGAGTTTTTATATTTTTTACATATGTTAAGCAACCTCAATTATTTTTCCTGAACACCATCACGATTGAAAATGTGACATTGATTTCCTACAACAGTTCAATAAACAGTTAAAATTAAGTCACTTACATTTTAGATTCAATATTGGCTGTTTTTGTTCTATTTCAGCAGCGAAAATAGTTCCAAACAAAAATCACAGCAGAACCACGGCGCATCTCACAGGAACACTCGACCTGTTTTCATTACTGAATGATTCAGCATTTTGAAGGAATCGATTGAGTCAAAGATTCAATGACCCATTCGTAAACATCTGTCTCATTCTTGAATGAATCAACCGTTTGAACAAATCGTTTGAATGAATGAATCAATGACTCGCTCATTAAGACGGTCGCCTGCCGCCACCTACTGGCGGTTTCGTGTTATGTTTAAAAGTAGATCATTCTGTCCAACGTTTCTTATTTGTAAATTTAAATCAATTTCATAACATTATTTTATGCAATTGGAATTTTTCAGTGTAAATGATTTAATTTGATCAGCCCTATAGTGTCTTATTAATCGAAATAATTGAATTTATTGATCAAATTTAGGAATTTAAAATGAAAGATGAAGCATAAATTTAATAAGATTGGGGGAGGGGATGCCCTTTAAAGGTGCAGATATTATAATATGCCGATTTAAATATCAAAGGTGATTGAACACTGATGAGAATATATTGTTTCAGAATAAAAAAAATAATAATAAAAAATCCGGACGAGAAACTTTTTTACTCGGACAAGTGAATGACAGATTAAGCGTATGAAAAGGCTTAATGTCGAGCCCTCCCTATATAGCAATGTCATCAGGATACACATACACCGGTAGGCAGTGGCCCACCTTACCGGGTGACCACGTCGTGGTCCACCAGAATTTATAGTTTACCCACCTCTTTTTTTACCACTACACCTCTGAATACATCTTTCTAAATTCTTGCAACATCATGAACATTTCAATCACAGTGTTATTTCCACCGGATCTCAATTGATTTATTGATGTATTGCATTAAGCATTTTCAGCATATCTTCATAGTTAGCAGTTTATGTATAATAAATAAACATTTCAGTTATACGTTCACAGTTTTTACGTAAGTGTTAGGAATTGGCGCACAATAAAAAATAATTTGTTTAACAATTATTTTCCTTGTAATATATTTCATATTACTCGTGCTTTTTTACTGACACCGGTTTCTCCTTGATAAACAAGTACTCTAACCTTTGAAAAATCTGTTTGTTCGTTTGTTCACTCCATACTGTGGGACAGTCGTAATTCATGTAAAATGCATCATGTATCACAATAAATATTTATTTCACTCTTTAATCATTTATATTATTCAATGTTTTTTTTAATATTTACTTTTAAAAAAAATGTATTCACTTTTTTATAGTTTAATATTCAAAATGTAGGTATATACAGTACACATGCACACATTGAACAAAATGTGTGGAGTCTGTGCTTGATGTAACTGTATGTATATATTGTGTTATGGTGCAGCATGGTGAGGAGGTCTCTCCAGCTGCTAGTGATCTGGCCATGGTTCTGACGCGAGGCCTCAGCATGGAGCAGCAGAAGAGCAGCCGAGACTCCCTTCAGTACTCGAGTGGATACAGCACTCAGACAACTACTCCCTCCTGCTCAGAAGATACCATCCCCTCACAGGGTAATGCACAGTCAGAAACACCCAAATTTACTCAGTAACTCACAGCTATTTACTCATTATTCATTTAAAAACAAGTTATGAGATTTGAAAAGTGGGATTTTTTATTTTTCTTGGTCAGGCTCCGATTATGATGGTTACTCAGTGAATGGAGACACTGAGGCCGACGGTCAGGCTGAATTCGACAAATCCTCCACAATTCCTCGCCACAGTAATATCGCACAGAACTACCGGCGCATGATACAGACTAAGCGTCCCGCCAGCACAGCAGGCCTGCCCAGCGGAGTGGGCGCTCTGGGCGGACCACCCGGCGGAGGCGGAGGCACGGCCACCATTCGCCGAACACCATCTACAAAGCCCGGGGTGAGGCGCACCCTCTCTAATGCTGGCCCTATTCCTATACGCCCACCCATCGTGCCAGTCAAGACCCCCACTGTGCCTGATTCACCCGGCGGGACCGCAGGCCCTCCCGCCCGTGTGGGCAGCGAAGAATGTGTATTTTATGTGCCGGATGACGCCTCCCCGGGAGCGCTGGAGTACGTGAAGGCCTCTCCAAAGCGGCTTAGCCTGCCCAACACAGCCTGGGGTTCAGGGGGCGTGGGCGGCTTAGAGATGAGCGTGTACGGCCAACCGGGAGAAGAAGATCACCTGCTGGCTGCAAACCGCCACAGTCTGGTGGAGAAGATCGGGGAGCTGGTGGCCAGCGCTCACGCCTTAGGTGAGGGCCAGTTCCCCTTCCCCTTGCTTCCGAATCAGCCCCCGCCGGGCCCCGTGGCCGAGCCGGACCCTGAAGCGGAGGGTGAGGACATGCTGAGGTCTATTCGTCGAGGGGTGCGACTGCGCAAAACCGTCTCCAACGATCGCTCAGCGCCCCGGATTTTGTGATGCCTCCTGGAGAGATGGGAGAATAAGAGCGAAGTAACCCAGAAAAAAAAAACTTCACAATGACTCTCTTTAGAAAGCGAGCTATGAAAAAGAGGATTAAAAAATTAAATGTTTAAAAGTCATTATAGAAATAATGAATAACAGTAATGAAAAAAAGTAAATGATATGTAACAGCAGGCTCAGGCCACTATAACTCTTAGCGTGTCCGAACGCATGTTTGTCTTATTAACACGCCCATCACTGCGGGATAGTTGAACTGTAGTGAGACAATTAACTAATGAAAGAACAAGTGGCCAGGATGTTTGGGGGATTTTTGTGGTCCGCTCCAGATCTTCGCATGGTCCCCCTAGAATAACGGCCCTCCTCAAACTATGGACCCCAGGAATCAGTGCTGGAGAAGCTCATGGGGTACGCAGGTTCTCTTTGAAAATCCTTGCTCTCTCTAACCCCACCCTCACCTCCAGTAAATTTGACATCACATCCTGAAAGTCTAGTTGGTATTGCTGTTGTATGTTGGTCTGCAGTCTGGAGGTGAGCAGGGCTCTGCTGCAGGTCAGCTTGTGGTTGCGTAGAGGGACGGGATTTATCTTTTATTTGTACATTTCCGTGGTTTTGTTTTATTTACAAGCAAGTAATCGCCTCCTAGCTCCTATGAGTAGGAAACGTATGTCAGGTATGTGGATATTTGTAGAATTAGGGTTTAAAAACCACCATGATAATGTGGAGCAATAATGCTTTTCTTTTTTCTTTGATGGGGGAAGGTTTCAAAGATCAGCTTTTAATAAAGCTGTATGTTGTTGATGTTCAGGTGTCTTCGGGGAAGCAGATGCTTCCGAAGACTTCTTGTTGAGTCGAATTATGGCTTATTTTAAAAGAAAATGAGAAATAGAGAGGATGCAGAGCACTTTCAAGGTGTAGTTTAGACCACTAGTTGTCACTGTGGCCACACTATGTGTGGTGAATGCTGTGAGACACCACGGTCATGTGCCCTGGTACTTAGGGAGACAAATGTGCGTAGCAATGTCTGGATATAGAAAAAAGAGAGTGGTGGGATGTGAAAGAGGTAGAAAGAATGATTTGGAAGTTCTTTACAGTAGGGTTCAATTTCTTAACATTATTCGTTAATGCATTGGCTACCAGTAACTAGCAATGAACAGCAATTATAAATCTAGGTTAATGTTAAATTCTACTTGTTCTAATGCATTTTTAAAATTTCAAGCAGTATAAATTATCCTTTTTTTTTCAACAAGGACACATTAATCTAATCAAAAGTGACAAAGACTTTTATAATGTATCATAAGATTTGTATTTCAAATAAATACTTTTTTTTTTCAAAGTCGCTATTCATTAAATAATCCTGAAAAAAATGTATCACGGTTTTCCCAAAAGTATTAAGCAGGATTGATCGTAGATCATGTGACACTGGAGTAATGGCTGCTGGAAATTCAGCTTTGCAATCACAAGAATAAATTAAATTGTAATTATATATATTATTTAAAATATAAAACAGTTATTTTAAATGTTCACAATATCATGTGTTTTACTGTATTTTTGATCAAATAAATGCAGTTTTAGGGAGCATAAGAGACTTCTTTAAAAAAACATTCACACATATATATACCCTCGCCTAAAGGATTATTAGGAACACCATACTAATACTGTGTTTGACCCCCTTTCGCCTTCAGAACTGCCTTAATTCGACGTGGCATTGATTCAACAAGGTGCTGAAAGCATTCTTTAGAAATGTTGGCCCATATTGATAGGATAGCATCTTGCAGTTGATGGAGATTTGTGGGATGCACATCCAGGGCACGAAGCTCCCGTTCCACCACATCCCAAAGATGCTCTATTGGGTGGAGATCTGGTGACTGTGGGGGCCATTTTAGTACAGTGAACTCATTGTCATGTTCAAGAAACCAATTTGAAATGATTCGAGCTTTGTGACATGGTGCATTATCCTGCTGGAAGTAGCCATCAGAGGATGGGTACATGGTGGCCATAAAGGGATGGACATGGTCAGCAATGCTCAGGTAGGCCGTGGCATTTAAATGATGCCCAATTGGCACTAAGGGGCCTAAAGTGTGCCAAGAAAACATCCCCCACACCATTACACCAACACCACCAGCCTGCACAGTGGTAACAAGGCATGATGGATCCATGTTCTCATTCTGTTTACGCCAAATTCTGACTCTACCATCTGAATGTCTCAACAGAAATCGAGACTCATCAGACCAGGCAACATTTTTCCAGTCTTCAACTGTCCAATTTTGGTGAGCTCTTGCAAATTGTAGCCTCTTTTTCCTATTTGTAGTGGAGATGAGTGGTACCCGGTGGGGTCTTCTGCTGTTGTAGCCCATCCGCCTCAAGGTTGTGCGTGTTGTGGCTTCACAAATGCTTTGCTGCATACCTCGGTTGTAACGAGTGGTTATTTCAGTCAAAGTTGCTCTTATCAGCTTGAATCAGTCGGCCCATTCTCCTCTGACCTCTAGCATCAACAAGGCATTTTCGCCCACAGGACTGCCGCATACTGGATGTTTTTCCCTTTTCACACCATTCTTTGTAAACCCTAGAAATGGTTGTGCGTGAAAATCCCAGTAACTGAACCGGCCCGTCTGGCACCAACAACCATGCCACGCTCAAAATTGCTTAAATCACCTTTCTTTCCCATTCGGAAATTCAGTTTGGAGTTCAGGAGATTGTCTTGACCAGGACCACACCCCTAAATGCATTGAAGCAACTGTCATGTGATTGGTTGATTAGATAATTGCATTAATGAGAAATTGAACAGGTGTTCCTAATAATCCTTTAGGTGAGTGTATATAGTTCATTGTTAGCTTATGATACCTATTGCGGTAACTGTTAACCAATTGAATCTTATTGTAAAGTGTGACTAATGATCTTGAAAGGGAATTGGTTGATACATTATATTTAATTTCCAATTTGAGCTTCTTAAAATATGAGTTTTTCAGAAATGGTCTTTTACTTGTCAAGCCTCAAACCACAGTCCCCTGATATATCTGTAGGAGGAGTGGAGAGAATGAGCTAAGATGAAGGCACACACCTGGCTGCCATTTTTTGGGACATAAGAATGAACTTTGGTTCTGCAGAGGGAAGAAAGGGATGAATAAAGGAGGTGGAGAGAATGAACTCTGGGAAGAAACTCATCCAGTTGTTTATGATAAAAGCATTCCACTGCCTGTTATAGATAATGTAGGAGTAAATACCTATGACGCGAAAGGTCGTAGGTTACCCCGGTTCACCGGACGTGAAGAAAAACAATGCTCTGTGATGATACTGGATGTGGAAGTGATATGTAGGAGGTCAAAACATAGTTTTAGTCATGTAGTGTCTGTTTGTGAGTGACTTTCTGTTCTCCCAAGACTCCCTAAAACCCCTGCAGTCATAAATAGTGCTGTTGCGCCAGACACTTGCTCCATACTCAGACTTTTGGGTTGTTTTTTGAATTATTTATTTTGCATAGAGCACTCTGTTTTAGGAATGCCTGTAGCGTGTTCAAAAGGAAAAAGTATGTCTGCTTTGTGAAAGTATGTACAAGTGTACCGATCTCTTGCCGAAAATAGCGCCGTTCTGGAACTCGGAGGCCGTATTGAGAGCAGGCTGGAATGAAAGAACGGGGTTACGGCAATTCAAAGCCCACACTGCCAGCCGGTGAAAGAGCAGGTCAGAATTTTGTATATATTCATATACATACATACTGTAAAAGAAGGTGAACAGTACTAGTAGCTTCACTAAAAACAAATGTCCCATATAAATGTTGTCTTGCTATGGGGTGTGTGAAGAATCAACGACAAGTGCATTGACTTTGGCAGCAATAAAGTGAAGTTTGCTGGACGAAGAGAAAAAAAAATCTGTTACATATCCACATATTTCATGTGAAGCTTCATGGCCTGCAAATCGCATAAAGCTCTCAGAAGTTCAATTCACAGCATTAAATACGCAGACACGTAAAGGCAGAAGAATACGACAGGAAGGAAGATAGAGAGTGGACGAGAAGTGAAAGAGAAAGAATGAGATGAGTAAGCGTGAGAAAGACATGGCCAGCTGAGAATAATTGCTGAAAGAAACAGGTGGGAAGCGAAGCGAGAGGGAAAAAAGACACAAAAGCCTGATTGCAGGTAGTTGGCTTACTGTTGTCTCTTTATTGTAACGTCAGTCTCTGCAGGTTTCTGCTCTCGAGGTCATGAAGCAAGATGACAGTTAAAAGCCCCTCTTGAGGAAACTGGGGGATAGAAAAACTATCACTTATGAGCTCAGCCTTCAGCGTCTAAATACCCACATACTCACACAGCAGATTGACTATTTTGGTTCTCAGGTGATTCTAAACATATTATCTCTTTGTTTTTGTTCTCAGTGTTTAACATTACTTGCGTCATGTTCATTTGCCTCCCGCTGAATGTCATGATACTCTCACTATAAGTCAAGCAATCACAATTCAGCTGTGAAAATGTGATTTTATTAGCCTGTTATATCTTACACCTGAAATGGAAGCTCAGAATTCAGAATTTGTCCAATACACTCTCATGGAAATTCGGAACTATTTTATGTTTTGACGAATTTTGGAGTGGGGCCCAGTGCGGTTGATAACCCCCGCTGACGATTAGGTTTAGACTTGGACCTTCATGCTTATGTTTTATTATTCTAAAAATCATACTTTTCCATACAAATCACATTGTACAAAACCTACGAAATCACCACCCTCACTCTAAAAAATTCTGGGATGTTTCAACCCATGTTTGGGTCAAATATGAACCCAATCGTTGGTTTAAATTTTTAACTTGAATTTTTAAACCCAATGGTTGGGTTTGTCCATATTTGACCCAAACATGGATTGAAACAACCACGTTTTCTCATGAGATTGGGTTGTTTGTTCCTTGAACACCCCTGGTTGTTTTAGTTATTATCAGGGAAGAAGTGCTTTAGAAATATATGTGCTTTGATGATGTGTAAATGTGATTTTTGAGAGCAATATTTTATTTTAATCCTAACATCATCTCACAACAAAGGAAGCTCTTATAAAGAGCTATCCCGAACGTCTCCCACTCTCACCTAAAAATAAATCATTAAAAAAAAAAAAATGCGTCCCTTCCAGATGATCATTTTGATGGGATTTGCTGTTACCTGGAGAACCATTAGTAAGTAGGCTAGCACATTGGATATATTTTTTTAAACTGTAAAATTGTCTTCAGTTCTGCCTTCACATAAAATTTGTTGGTAAGCCAAGCAAATGCCAAAAAAGAAGTCTATTGGCTATCCTTTATATTTACATTAAGTAATTGACCAAATCCTATAGAGTTAGCACAATCAATAAGTATAATGTTAGCCTTAAGCAACTTTATGCCTTTTTGATATTCACTCAGTCCATTCACTACTGCACTCAGGCCTTTTCTCTGTCGTCCTTTTTCCTTCTGCGTTGTGTTTCACATCTCTAAAATGGCTACAGACAATAAAT